GTGGTAAAGCGTCTCCCAAGATACAATGATCAGACACTTGCAAAAGCAGCACTTCGATTGCAAGACAACGAACTAGTACCGGAAGTACTCTTTGTAGACTAATGCAGAAAGGAACAACGAGAAGAATAATATGTATGCATAATGAATTCATAATTTTTCTGTGTATTTAGATGAAAGCCTGAGGACCATTTAAATGGAGGAGAGAGTTGAAGGTTGAGCAGTTTTCATAAAACTATCCACTCACGCCCACTTAACGCACAGTTTTAGCAAATTGATGGGACGGTTAATATACAGTCAAAGAGAGGGAATTAATTGAATTCAGATAAAAATTTATATAAATTTTATCAAAAAAAATTAATATTGACACGGGTCCGGCCCATGTCCATGCCCACGACCCGAGCCCGAGCTCGAGCTCGTGCCGAGCCGGCCGATCGGACGGAAGGCGGCGGCGCTCGCGTGTGTGGCCTTTGGATTAGTCTAGATCTTCTCTAAGACTTCCACTTTCAAAAACTATTGGTACCCCTTGGGACCTAAACCCATTTCCAAACTTAAAGTTTATTAAGTGGTTCAAGGTTGTGTTTGCAACCTATGTGGGATTGGAATACTTTTCCAATTCTTTCTCATTTATTCCTCGTATTTATTATCCGACTTTCAACCTTAATTTCTCATTCATATTGAAATGGTTTTTCACAAGTAAATATTCTACACTNTTTTATTTATTGTCCAACTTTCAATCATAATTTCTCATTCATATTAAAATGATTTTTTCACAATTAAATATTCTACACTCATCTACTTTGAACGAAAAATTTAATCGAACATTAATTTTGATAAATCGAACATCGGATCCCACTTAAAATTGTGGTCAAAGTTGACCAAGTTGACCCACAATTTCCAACACTACAATAGCTTTTAGAGGAATCTCTTCTACAAAAAGAAAAAGCCCTGCCAAAATGGTCCTTAATATTGTTCAATATTATCCATTCTACTCGACAAAAGAAGCTAGACATCTAAATACGACAGAACTGAATAGATCCATTGAGGAGACAATGCTCTCTCTAGTTCAATATTAGGAGCTTTTGTCTTTTACGGGTTTTGTGATGCCTGAACTTGGAGCATAATAGGAAAAAGACTACATCCTAGTTTCTCAAGTCTAGAAGCTTCTATTAGTGCTTGATATTTAAGAATTTCAGGATATCACTACTTACTGCCATGTCTCAAATGCATAGCTCCAATATTCGTCCAAATTATTTCCAAAAAAATTCGATTAGACAATCATGTCAAACCTGAAGGCAGAAGAAGCACAAGATACTAACCAGAATTAAAGCAAATCAATTCTAAGATTCAGACAACCACTATCTATAAAGAGAACTTCCCAGGATACCCTTCTTGATACAAACAACATAGGTTTCTCAATACACGACGCCAAACTTGAGATGTTTTGGATGTGGAAGGGCTCACATCTGATCAGACCTTACAATTTCTTTTAGGGATGGCAAAAAAACCCGACAAACCCGATACCCGTTAAACCACATCATGTAGACTGTTAGAGAGAGGACACACTTATTTAAATTTAATCTTCAATTTAATCATATACATTCACAATTCATCTTTCTTTCCTATAACTAAACTCGTGTTTTCCAAGCAAACTTCAGTCATGATTTCACCATTGACATAATAATACATCTGGAGAAGAAGACCTAAATGAGAATATTAATTTCTAAACTGCCTTTAATTTTTGGATCGAACATAATAGCTACATTTCCATTAATTTCAAGATATGCACCAGTATCAATACATTTTTGAGAAAGACCTCGTTAAATCCATGAAACTGATACGCAATACACTCGAGAATAGTATCAATGTTTGAAAATCAAGATCTTGTTGTGCAAGGCTGCTAATGAATAGTAGAAGTAGTGCATTCACTAATCCTCTATTAACTCAATAACTCGAAACTCCTAACCCTATTCTGCTTTTAAAAAAACAAGTCAGAGGTAAAATCATGCAAGCATGTAACCAAGTCAATTCATGCCAATTGCCAACTCATGATCTACAATGAATAACAAAATCATCCCAACAAAATAATCAACTAATTAATAAATTAACCAGGAATATGACCATCTTAGCCAATTAATTGGTCGAGTTTTGGAATTTAATCATATGTTACTCATATCCCATTGTTTGTAATCCACCTAAGCAATAAGGTCACGAGGTTGGTGGGCCTCACTTCTTCAGTGTTTAGTGGTCATAGCTCTCGAGACTAATTCTTTATTCAGAAGTATATTGGACATTCCAAAATTGTATTAGATTTAGATAAAATTGTATTAGATTTAGATATGCGGACCTTACAATTGTTTGCCTCCATCACTCACTGTGTAATCTCACCCCTCTCAGTCTGTGTTACCCCTTAAAAGATTAGGACAACTTAGTACAAGTATAAACACCAGAATCCAAAATAAACAAATAACCCGTGAACACAATCCACAATCCAAAACCACGACAAATTAACCAGGAATATCAGCAGACAATTTCATTATTCAACCTGATAACATTATCAATCCAAGAATTCATTCAAATCCAATCATCAAACAATCTTTTTTTTTTTTTTTCCCGTTTATGGACGCAATTACACACTATAAACCCTAAAGACTCAATTTTCAAACCAAAATCAAACATAAAGATTGCAACTTTTACCTCAAATTGATGCTTCCAGGTAAGAGAAAGAATCATCTTGAATCGCTTTAACCTTGCAAGTTGGAATAGTCTCAAATTCGTCAGCCGGTAATTTCTGCGAAAGAGCACCCACATAAAATTCAATCAACCCATTCTCTTCATCAACATCAATCCCAGTAACAGAAACCCATAAGAAGAATTTCTTAGCCTGAATCCCAGAAACTTCAGAAACTTTCCCAAATCCCAATTTCCCTTTAATGATTCTATCATAGTACACAGATTGACCATTGAAATTAACATAACATGGGTTTGAACTAAGTTCAATGGTGAAGGAACTGTCAACAGCGGAGAGAGTATAGGACTTGATGTTTTGTGGGAGAAGACCCTTTGGGAGATTGTATAATGGGAGTAGGTCATGGACATCTGTGGCTGAAAAAGAGAGGTGGGTTAGAGAGAGAAGGCAGAGAGAGAAAATTGCTACCTTTTCCATTGATAATACGCCAAGGAAGATGCTCGTATGTATATATGTATATATAGGGAGAGAGGCAAATGATTGGTGAGGTAGCAGACGTAAAGAATACTACTTGTGGTGGTTGGTCTGCAATTTTCTTTTGGTTTAGACATGATTGCACTACGGGTCCCCAATCCATTGCTCTAGTTACCAACTAAGTCCTTAACATTTAAAGAGGAGTGCAAGTTGGTTCAGAAAAGACTCGAGAACTACGTGATAATTAAATGGAGAATTTGCAGTATTTGGGACTAAGTAACATTTATACTGAAAGTTTGACGATTTACTTCTTTTTTAAAGATGGGGACCAGCTTGCAATTGAAGCAATACATTGGAGTCCAACAATGAAAATTTTCTTTGATTTCTAATTTGATTCTCTCCTTTTGGGAGGGAGTAGCAGTAGAGATGAAATAAAACACAAAGTAGCATTTTCAGGGGTATTTGATTGGATCCAAGTCTAATACAAAAGTTAATTATATTCATACCATATTTTAATTACAAGATTCCCTTATTATTATTATTATTATTATTATTTGGCACTTGTACCAACCTTCAATTGAGTAACTTTATTGTTTCAACATGCAGACTGACTTGCATGATACAGTTAAAGATTCCTCGCCTAGCCACTCTTGTACCATTCGACTCACTTGTCCAATTGCCTCGTCTAAAGCACAAGGATTGTAATCCACCAGTCTCCAGACCAGAAAAGATTCATTCCACTTGCTCAAGCCTCCCTAAGTACAAATGCATGGCTAATATATAGCAGTATTCAAGGTATATACTGCAGAATCCATTCATCGTACACAAAATTTTGCATGGAATTTAGCCTTAATTTACTGCATAGCAGCTTGATAACCATGATAACTGGTTATTTTTCTTAAAAGTTCGACTAATGAGATTCATACATCAGTATATGCAAATCTCTTTTCAAGCAGAACAGAGCTAGAGCTAGAGCTAGAGCTATATTACATATTCTCTCATTTCCGTGTACAATACACACTCTACATTGGGTTCTTGAATGCATATTAGATCCTGACTTCCCTCTGCCTCCTCGTACATATTTGGCATGCACTACTCGGTAATAAGCATCGGGATATCATCCACGGGAGCCTGGAGCTGTTTGCAGAAAGAAAATTATCATAATTACAAGGAGGGCTGACAAAGAATTAACTGCATGACAAAAACAGCAGGTTCAGATAGAAAGGAGAGCCGGACCAATGTTATAATTATGGGAAGGCAGGTCATATTATTAAAATTTCAAAATACAGTGTCTGATATGGATAAAAGAACCGGTCAAGCCAGAGTTACTCAACTCAGTATTGGATAGAAGTGAATCGCCTTTATAATATCAACAATATAATGAATCTGGAGCACAACAATAGTTCAAAGGAAGCAGGCATCTAATGATCAACGCAAGTCTCTGAATTTTATAGTCAAATGTCAAATCACGTGGCAGTTAAATATACTGTTTCTCTCTTTGGATTAGGTCGCCCTAGATTCCTACACTGTATAAAGGAGTGTGAGGGGAACCTTTTTCTTTTTCCTTTTTTTTTTTGGTGGCACGAAAGACAGAGTAAGAAGAGTAAGATCTACATGTAAATTTCTCGAATTCAGTGAAAATCTGCAACAGCGAGTTTAAGTGCCTGTTTTGGTCCCATTTCTTAAAATTCATCCCCAAACTCATTTTCAACCACAAATTTCATGAGACCCGCAATTTTTATCAAAATATACTAAAATCTGATTTTTATCAAAATCAAACAGAGGCTAAGTATCTATCATATTGACAATGACCATTATACATGTTTGTTTCTGTTTTTACTTCATTATACCAACACTCAGAAATTATCCCAAAATAATATTCAGCACCCACAAAATACAGAGTTTGTGGACTACAACGAGAATAATTTACAAGTCCAAAATGCATGCCTTCGTTTTTAACCCATCTTTGAATCTCTAACAAGTAACAGAACATGGTTAGGAAAGGTCGCAACTGAACATCTTCAAAGAAATCTAGTTTACACCTAGTCATCTTTCTCTCTCTCTCTTTTTTTTTTTTTGGGTGGGCGGGGGAATTATTTGCTTTTACGACCTCTTCCTTTTCTGGCCTTGTGATCCTCTCTTATCAACTGATCAACATGTTTACATGCACGAGAATGAAAGAAGAAAAAACAAGACAACAAATTAGACATTTTAGTGGTAGCACAAAAATATAACCCTCCGATAGTGTCATCTAATTGTCATACAAAACACAACCATCAAATATTATAGTGCTAAAATGCAGAAACTATTGTTATAGCAAAGTGACAAAACCCAGCCATGCAGCTGTTCAATGATATTGTTCATACAACAAAATACCATTTGGTATGGTTTAGACTCCTAAAAGGCAACCACCATAAAGTTGTACAGTTATAAAATACCTATTAGATTCCATTTGACGATTAAGTAAGTTCTCTTTTGCATACTGAATTAGCTCTAAACTATTTTTAGTCAATAGAACTGCAAAAAAGGTTGAGCTTGTTACATATAGTAAAAAATCGGGGGTATTAAATATATAGCCAATCATGAATATTGCAGAAATTTATTTCCTATAAACATGTATTCTCCCTATTTGTCAGGTCTGTATCATTATGCATTAAGAGAAGAATTAATTTAAGCCTACAATTTAAAATTTTTCCATTATGTTTCTGGAATACGGACCCTATTCTTCTCATTTTTGTTCTTCAAGAGAAAAAATTTAAATCATTGGCTTCGAGTTCGAAACCACAAGGCTCGATAGACATAAAGAAGCATGCACATAATAGAATCTTCTTTAGGTACAAGACGAGTTTATAGTAGAGCAAATCACTCAAGTTTGAACCCATGCAAAGTCATAACATCAAACACACACCAACAAAAACCGTATTTCTAAAAGCTGTAGGGTTAGGCTTTAACCACTTCGTTTGAAGACCAGTTGGTGTCCACGGAGAGAAGGTTAAACCATTTAGGCATTTGACCAACATATTAGGTGAACGAAAGAAAAGTTTATTAGTTGGTTGTTTTGGGCTTTATCCTTATTGCTTGGAATTTGGTTGTACGAGTGGCCTAATGACTTGACTAACTATATAAATAATGGTTCGAGATTTTCTTCGATGATTGAAAATATTTTTAAAGTAGAAAAAAGGCATTTTCTAGAGTGAAAAGTAAACATATATTTCATTTCTTCTAGAACAATCACAGAGTGAAAAATAAACACGTTTCATTTCTGCTGGAACAATCACAAACACTTGATTAATTATGGATCTACCACCAGAAGTTCAATACGTAATTTTAGCATTCAATGCGTATTTTTGAATAATCTCATTTTTCAATTATNGAGAAGGTTAAACCATTTAGGCATTAGACCAACATATTAGGTGAACGAAAGAAAAGTTTATTAGTTGGTTGTTTTGGGCTTTATCCTTATTGCTTGGAATTTGGTTGTACAAGTGGCCTAATGACTTGACTAACTATATAAATAATGGTTCGAGATTTTCTTCGATGATTGAAAATATTTTTAAAGTAGAAAAAAGGCATTTTCCAGAGTGAAAAGTGTTTAAACATATATTTCATTTCTTCTAGAACAATCACAGAGTGAAAAATAAACACGTTTCATTTCTACTGAAACAATCACAAACACTTGTTTAATTATGGATCTACCACCAGAAGTTCAATACGTAATTTTAGCATTCAATGTGTAT